AAGTTCTGCGCGGCCCACTGTTTCGCGCCAGGCGCAAGGCGCGCGCAGGGAAAAGGTCCACCGCCGCCTGTCGCGGTGGCCCACGGGAGGACGCAGGCTCTAGTTGACGCGGGCACCGAAGGTCACTGCGAGGTTGCAGTTGGAGAGAGCTAGGAGTGGGATTTGCATGGGGCACGAGCAAAAAGGCGGCGGTGGGAGCGGGCAGACACCGCGCGCCCTAAGGCTTCGCACGCGCACTGGGCCGGGACAGTGGACAACTATTGTCCGAGCAAGTCCACGGGCGCCGACTTGGACAGCGTGTCATGCAAGACCCATAAGGAGCAGCGCTCTTGGCAATCCAAGGGCCGCGCGACTGGCGGGTGGCTCGTGGCCTGTCTGCCGAACGGCCATATCCTGCATGTTAAAGAATATTATGGAGCCGAAATCCTTTCGCAAAGGTATTTCTTTCTCGCAGAACTCCACGCGGCCGCCCCGGACATGCGCGTGGTCGTCCGCGACGACGCTTGCCGCGTGCACAAATTTGCGACTGCCAGGTCAGCGGGCTCAGAGATTGCGACGGCACTGGCGCTCCCGCAGATGCACAACGTCACAGACAAGTTACATTCATCTGGCCACACGGACGAGCGGTGTCTCAGCAATTGCCACCCGAAGGTGCCGCATAATGCCCAATTGCTCGGGGACGCGAACACATCGATATGCGAGCAAACTTTCCGCGCGACCAACCGCCTGAAGCACATGGTTCAGCATGTGCACTAGGCCACCTGCACTGCGTTCGCGCACGAAATCGGAGAAGCCCGAAATCTGGCGAGGATGAATGCTTGACCAGGACTCCCCTCCGATGGTTGCCCTGTGCGAGTCTGAGCGACATCTGGCATCTCGCGGAGACGCGCGCGGGCCTGGGCGCGACCCGGGCCTGCCGGGCCGGTGACGTCAAGGGAGTGGCATGGTAGACGTAGTTCCTGCGGCAATGTCCGCATGACCTACTTGGCTTGTAATGCGATTTTCTCCTCGATCGCCCGTGTCCTCCCGAATCCCAGTCCTACTGCGCGGCATCTGGCTGGGCCGGCGCAACGCGTCGGCTTCTTCCATGTGACGCCCGCAAAGGCGGGCGCGCGGTGGGGCCAGCCAGCGTTGAATCACATCATTGCTTGGCCCATCATCCGCACCGCCGCCTCGGTTGCCGCATCTGGCGCCAACCCGCTGCGTTCTCCAGTTAAGGGCGCGCTGGCCCCCCCCCTTGCAGGCGGTTGCGCGCCAGCGCGCAGCCCCCGCAAGTTATCAAATGCATGTAGCTGTAGATTCCCTTCGCCCGGGGCCTTGAGAACACTTGTTCCAGGTGATCGCTATTCAAGCGGCGGAAAAATTAAACTTTTCCACGATTCGCGCATCCCCGACAGCCCTTTCAGAAATGCAGCCCATGAGGGCTGACGGGAAACAGGAGGAAGACGCACATATAGTAAAACGAAGCGGGCAACCAGGGTGAATTGAGAGATCTACGGAACAAAATGGCGGTCCTAGCGGGCGTCTTGGAGCCATCTCCGGGGCCCGCTTGGGGGCGACGGGAGGAGGGCGAGGAGGAGAAGGAGGAGGAGGACGGCGACGACGAGGACGATTAGGAAGAGGAGGGGGACGACGACGGCGATAGCGGCAAGGACGAGAACGAGGACGACGACGAAGACGAGGAGGAAAAGGAGACGGAGGAGAAGAACGAGGACAAGGAGGCTGGTTGATGGTGGCGGTGTTGCTGGTGCTGCTGCTGGTGCTGTTGCTGGTGCTGCTGTTGCCGGTGCTGTTGCTGGTGCTGCTGCTGGTGCCGCTGTTGCCGGTGCTGTTGCTGGTGCTGCTGTTGGTGCTGCTGCTGACGCTGCTGGTGCTGCTGGTCCTGCTGGTGCTGCTGATGCTGCTGCCGCTGTTGCTGCTGGTGCTGCTGGTGCTGCTGGTGCTGACGCTGTTTTTGATGCAGGTGCTGCTGCTGCTGCTGCTGCTGCTGCTGCTGCTGCTGCTGCTCATGGTGTTGCTGCTGCTCATGTTCAAGGTGGTGCTCGTGCTGCTGCTGCGGTTTGTGCTGGTCTGGTGCTGCTGCTGCTGGTGCTGGCCGCGCCGGTCGCGCGGGTGCCAGTTTCGTTGGTGCCAGTCGCGCCGGTAACGCCGGTCGCGCCAGTCGCGCCGATCGCGCCGGTCGCGCCGGTCGCACGGGTCGCGCCGGTCGCGCCGGTCGCGCTGGTCGCGCCGGTCGCGCCGGTCGCGCCGGTCGCTCGCGCCGGTCGCGCCGGTCGCGCCGGTCGCGCCAGTCGCGCCGGTCGCGCTGGTTGTGCTGGTCGCGCCGGTCGTGCTGGTCGCGCCGGTGCCGGTCGCGCCGGTCGCGCCGGTGCCGGTCGTGCCGGTGGTGCCTGTGCCGGTCGCGCCGGTGGTGCCGGTCGCGCCGGTCGCGCTGGTCGCGCTGGTCGCGCCGGTCGCGCCGGTGCCAGTCGCGCCGGTCGCACCGGTGCCGGTCGCGCCGGTCGCGCTAGTCGGCTCCAGATCTTCCTCTTATGAAACATCGCGCATGAGGGGAAAATGATTGCTGTTGTTGATGGTGGTGGTGGTGTTGTTGTTGCTGTTGCTGTTGCTGTTGCTGTAGCTGTTGCTTTTGCTGTTGTTGTTGTTGTTGGCGTTGGTGTTGGTGTTGGTGTTGTTGTTGAGTTGTTGTTGTTGTTGAACATTATTAATTCTAAAGAATAATTATTGTTGGGACCCCTGGTGCACGGCCCCCCTGCGCCGCCTAGGCCGCAGCTACATTTTCATCATTTTCGTGAGGAAGCCTCAGGTAATTCGATGTGATCAAGATCCGGTTGTTTTGTTCCCCCCCGCTTTCCCTTGCAAAAAACACTATAAAATGACATTTCTTGTTCTAATATAATCAAATTTCAAGAATCCCTTGCAAAAAATAAGGTAAAGTGGACATTCGCGCGCGCAAGACGAAATCCTTCCAAAAGCTTAGTGTTCGGAGCGATTTTAACATAAAAACATCAAAAAACCAATGGTTTTTCAACAAAAAAATGTCAAAATCTCATCCCGCGCGCTCTTGCGGATTCGTAGGAAACCCAACACTTTTTAAACATTTCTGTCAAACGGGCTTTTGCGAGCAACTTTTTCGAACTTCTGCGACAACGGTTGCGCACCTGCCAGGGCCATCATCCCTGTCAAATAATACCATGCGGGACACATTCGTTTTTTCTTCGCGCGCGCACGCCGAAATCTCCAAAAACCGTACCGGTGTATCATGTGTATCATGTACCATATGCATCATATGCAACAGATGTTCTGTGGAAGGCTTAACAACTTCTGTGGGTTAACAAGGCTTAACAACTTCTGTGGGTGTACGAACGTAGGCTTAACAACTTCTGTGGGTGTGTACTCCACGCCAGTGTAGTAGCCACGGTCGTCCGCAGGCCACGAAGTGAAGTGTCCGAACGTCATAGGGCGGGAAGCTGGGTGTGGGTGGTGGCGAAGAGTCGTGTGGATATTTGGTAGAGCTTGCACTGCCCCCCCACAAAGTGGGGGTATTGGCTGGCGTCGCATGAAAACCCTGGCACTGGTGAGAACACTGAGCGTTCGGGTAAAGTGATTGTTGTTGTTGTTGTTGTTGTTGTTGATGTTGATGTTGGTGTTGTTGTTGTTGCTGTTGTTATTGTGTTTGTTGTGTTTGTTGTGTTTGTTGTGTTTGTTGTGTTTGTTGTGTTTGTTGTGTTTGTTGTTTGTTGTTTGCTGTTTGCTGTTTGCTGTTTGTTGTTTGTTGTTTGTTGTTTGTTGTTTGTTGTCGTCGTCCCCCCTGCGACCCACCCGGCGACCCACCCGCGCGCGACCCACCCGCGACCCACCCGCGACCCACCCGCGACCAACCCGCGACCCATGCGCGACCCACCCGCGACCCACGCGCGACCCGGACCGCGACCCATCCGCGACCCACCCGCGACCCACCCCGCGATCCACCCACAGATCCACCCACAATGCTTTAACGAAAACATCGGCGCCTGCGGCGGGCTCAATGCATGATTTGTAAAAGTTAGACGCCTGCGGCGGGCTTCTCCAGAGCCTCGCAGACTGAGGACGTTCTCGCGGCCCCCATCACAGTTATCCGCAACTGCGGGGTGTTACGATGTACAATCGTGGCCGTTTGGGCCGCAGGGAGCCGTCGCACAGCGCCTCGTGCCGGCCTGGACTCGTTTGTTTTGTTGTAGTTCGATGGGAGTCCCAAGGTGAGCTGATGGTTGAGATGCGCGGAGCTTGCTGCGGGGTGGGGGATATCCTCCTCGGACTCCCTGCTGCCGCTGTGGCGCTTTTGGCTGTGTAGGCCAATAGGGGTCTGCACGGTGTCTCTGCCTGCTCCTCACTTCTTCTTGCTTGGCTGGCACGCTTCGGCGACTCATCTTTGAGGTAAACGTTGCTTGAAGGGTTGCTCGCGTGGGGAGATATAACAAATCAAACATAGAGATGACAACATGTTTGATTTCAGGGGGTCCGAAACCTGGCTGTTGAAGGGCCTCGGTGGACAAGCACGTGTTGGCGCTACGTGCAGCCTCAGAGGCAGCCCCATCGTGCACCATGGCAATGCCGGCTGGCAGGAGACCAGCCGCTTCATGGGCAGACGTTGCACGATGTCTCGGTCGCCGTGTGCCGGGGCCGCAGAAACCGCGTTGAACGGTCAGCGCTTGCAGATCTTGGCGATATTACACGTTCCTGGGATCATCAGTGTCCACTTCTCCGGCATACCCGAGGCAGCTCCAGACCGGGTGCTCTTCTATCACCGCTGCGCAGCTTGTTGAGCTGCGTTGCCGTCGGTCCGATGTCATCTTCTGGAAAAGACACGTTCAGAGGATCACCAGGATTGCAAAAAAAACCTTGTTGTTTTGCAATCCTGGGTTTTTTTTTGTTGCAATCCTTGGTTTTTTTGCAATCCTTCGTGTTTTTTTTTTGCAATCCTTCGTTTTTTTGTGCAATCCTTCGGTTCTCTTCTCCAGCATACCCACGCCGCAGCCGGAGGGCTGCACACCGTCCCTCGGCGGTTGCTACGGGTGCCCCTGGCCCAAGGTGCCCCCAGCTTCTCGCTCCACTCTAGAGCCCCCCAGGCCGCCCCCCTCCTCCTCCCCTCCCCCTCCTCCTCTCCTCCCCCTCCTCCTCCTCCTCCTCCTCCTCCTCCTCCTCCTCCTCCTCCTCCTCCTCCTCCTCCTCCCCCTCCTCCTCCTCCTCCTCCTCCTCCTTCTCCTCCCCCCTGGGCCTCGTGAGGGGTGCTCTGGAGGCCGGGGGGGCTCCTTGGAAATCTCGGGGGCACCTTGGGCCAGGGGGCACTTCTGGCAACACCCGAGCCGTCCTGCTCCGGAGCGACGGCGCGGCCGTGGCCTGCGGCGCCAACGACCGCGGGCAGTGCAGCTTGCCCGCGCTGCCTGGGGGCCTGGCCTACGCGGCGGCCTCGCCGCGGGCCCTGCTCCTGCAGGCCTCCTTCGACGGCGCCTCGGTGCTCGTGGGCGACAAGCACAGACTCGAGACGCTGAAGCCTAGGCCTCTCAGATGGGGTCCGAGTAGATGGGGTCGGCGGGTCGCGCCGCATCGCCAGTGCATCAGCCATGCGGCTCGATGTGGAGCCCGATTTTCGCCACGCCGACGGCGGCGATGCATCGCCCACTGCGGCGGTGCATCGCCGAGGCGTCGGCGACGCCCTGGCGATGCTGCGCGTTCCCCCGACGCTCTTGGGGCCAAGAAGGGACTTCGTTCCTCATGTAGCGTTCCTTGTGGTAGCAGCCTGACTGTATCCGTATCCGCCGCCTCGCGGGCCGGGCCCCTGGGCCGCGACCCCGCGGATGCGGGGCGTTTTTGTTCGCGGCTGCCCACTGCGGCACGTGTCCGTGCGACCGCGCATCCGCTGGATCGCGCCCCAGAATCCAGACCGCGAGGACGTGGACATGGATACCCCCGGATCAGACGACGCAGCAAGATGCGACAGCGAACACACACTGCTTCATTCCTCGAGCTGGACCGATTTGTGAGGGCCCCGGGGCCCGAGACCGGGCGAACACGCCCGTCGCGAACAGAAATGCATCGCCAGGATCTCGGGATGCGTTCACAGCTCGTGAGGTGCGCTTCGTGA